ATTAAAAGACGCCTGCTCCTTGGGAGGAAAGCGATGGCGAACCTAAACAGCATGGTAAAAAGTAGAGACATCACCCTGCCCACAAAAGTCCGCATGGTCAAAGCAATGGTATTCCCAGTAGTCATGTATGGCTGCGAGAGTTGAACTATAAGGATGGTCGAGCGTCGAAGAATAGATTCTTTTGAACTATGGTGCTGGAGAAGACTCTTGAGAGTCCCTTGGACTGCAAGAAGAACAAATCAGCCAATCTTAAAAGAAATCAACCCTGACTGTTCCCTGGAAGGCCAGATAATGAAACTGAAGCTCAAATACTTTGGCCACCAAATGAGAAGGGAGCACTCACTGGAGAAGACCCTGATGCTGGGAAAGATTGAAGGTCAAAGAAGACGGGGACGGCAAAGGATGAGATGGTTAGACAGTGTCATCGATGCAACGAACATGAAATTGAGCAAACTTCAGAGGACGGCGGAAGACAGGAAGGCCTGGCGTGATCTGGTCCATGGGGTCGCGAAGAATCGGACTCGACTGTGCGATTGAACAACAACAAACAATATTCTAATACATAAATATGTATACATCAAGTTTTAAATATGTTTAAAGGTGTGTGAAATGTAAAGGATTCTTTGTATTAAAGACAAAAAATTTACATGTAGAACACGTTCTGACGTCCTTAACAAGAAACAATACATCTACTATTACTAGTCTTGTACTCTGGAGAGGATACCACAATAATATGCACAGCTCTCATGCAAAGAAAGATACATATCTGGCAGAGAGGTTTTTCTGTACCATTTTCTGCCACACACATAAGACAAACTACTGAAGCAACTGTCCTCCTCTATTCAGAGCAACTAACACTGCTCTGACCTCAATATGTCATTCTATAGTCAACCAGTTTAATACACATCGGCCACCTATTCACATTTATCACACTAAAAACCCTGTGCATCTGATACAAAGGATTTCAACTGAGGTACCATACAGTTCTAGGAGCTGCGGTGGCTCGAGTGGTTAAGACACTGGACTGCAGGCTGTGGAAGGTCGGTAGTTCAGCAGTTCGAGACCCGGGTGCCGCAAGATGGAGTGAGCTCCCGTCTCTAGTTCCAGCCAGTTTGGTGTAGTGGTTAAGTACACGGACTCTGATCTGGGAGAACCGGTTTTGATTCCCCACTCCTCCACTTGCACCTGCTGAATGACCTTGGGCAAGCCATAGTTCTGGCACAGCTGATCTTGAAAAAGAGCAGTTTCTGTTAAAAGTTCTCTCAGCCCCACCCACCTCACAGGGTGTCTGTTGTGGGGAGGGGAAGGGAAAGGAGTTTGTAAGCCACTCTGAGACTCCTTTGGGTAGTGAAGGGCGGGATATAAATCCAATCTCTTCTTCTTCTTCTTCTCTCCTGCCAACCTAGCAGTTCGAAAGCAAGAAATTGCAAGTAGATAAATAGGTACCACTTTGGTGGGAAGGTAACAGCATTCCGTGCACCTTGGTGTTTAGTCATGCCGGCCACATGACCACGGAAACGTCTTCGGACAGCGCTGGCTCTTCGGCTTGGAAACGGAGATGAGCACCGCAACAGAATTAATTGGGGGGGTGTTTTTCATATGTGGGATTGTGCTGCCTCTGGCCGTGTGCTGAATCACGTCCAGACGACGCTGTTGACTTCTGACTCAGTGTTAGACGGAACAGGGATCTTATGCAATTCTGCAAGGCCTGTAAGGCTTTTGGTTGAGAACAGCAACAGTTACCTCACTGACTGGCACCCTCCCTCCCTCCCCCCTTTTGCTCTGTTCCCTTTCCCCCTGCCCAGAAAAGGGGCCTGTAATCCGGAATTGGGACAAATAGTATTATAGGAAAATCGCCATCTCAGATTTTTTTATTCTATATTGTAATTTTTATTGAGTTACATATTGAATTTTAATGCATTTGTATATTTTATAGTATCATGCCTTGTACATCACCCAGAGCCTGGCATAAACTGGGATAGGGCGAAATAATTATGATGATACTGATGAAGTGTGCACACATGTGAGTGTGTATGCACCTGGAAGTCATGGCGACCTCTGGTGACTGATTGTGTGTGTACCTGGAACTTATGGTAACCTCTGGTGACTGAAACCTATTGGGGATCTGGAGGATATTCAGAGAGGTGACCGAATAAAGCCTGTCCCTGCCTCCCAGCTGCTGGTATTCCAAGGAGGTCTCCTATCAAAGTACTTGCCAGAGTCGACCCTATTTAGCTTCCAAGATCTGACGAGACTGGGCTTGCCTGGGCTACCGAGATCAGGCAGGGAAACAGAATTAAGACAGTCATTATGCCATGTTAATAAAAGGATGCTAAGAAATAACTACAGTAAAATATTACTGGTTTTGCTGAATGATCTTTGATGTCTGTGAATGTGTTAAAATGTTCTTTGTATATGAGCAATTCCCCTCCTCTTCTTTTTCTGTATTCCTATCTTTTTTCTGTTTCAAAAAAATTAAAAACATATTTAAAAAAAACTGCTCACAATTCTTTGGATAAATGCCCTCATTTTTAAATCCACTCCTACTCACTAGCATCTGTCCTATGTATGAGATTAATCTATGACAGTTTCATCATCTGGACCTAGGGAAGGAAGCTCTCAAGAAATTCCACCAATACTTCAACAGCTTGTGCCCCACCATCAATCTGAACCTAGACCAGTTCATATTCTGGACATAATGCAAGAC